GTCGCACCGTCTTGTCCCAACTTCCCGAGGCGATCTGGTGGCCGCTGGGTGAATACACCACGCTCCTAACATCGGAGGTATGGCCGCTTAAGATGGGACCGGGTGCACCGGTTTGTGCATCCCACAGTCGCACCGTCTTGTCCCAACTTCCCGAGGCGATCTGCTGGCCGCTGGGCGAATACACCACGCTCCTAACATCGGAGGTATGGCCGCTTAAGATGGGACCGGGTGTACCGGTTTGCGCATCCCACAGTCGCACCGTGCAGTCCATACTTCCTGAGGCGATCTGCTGGCCGCTGGGCGAATACACCACGCTCCTAACATCGGAGGTATGGCCGCTTAAGATGGGACCGGGTGTACCGGTTTGCGCATCCCACAGTCGCACCGTGCTGTCGTTACTGCCTGAGGCGATCTGCTGGCCGCTGGAAGAATACACCACGCTGTTAACAGCGGAGGTATGGCCGCTTAATATAGGGCCTGGTGCACCGGTTTGCGCATCCCACAGTCGCACCGTGTTGTCGTCACTTCCCGAGGCGATCTGCTGGCCGCTGGAAGAATACACCACGCTCGTAACAGCGGAGGTATGGCCGCTTAAGATGGGACCAGGTGCACCGGTTTGCGCATCCCACAGTCGCACCATGTTGTCCCAACTTCCCGAGGCGATCTGCTGGCCGCTGGGCGAATACACCACGCTCGTAACATAACCGGTATGGCCGCTTAAGATGGGACCAGGTGCACCGGTTTGCGCATCCCACAGTCGCACCGTGTTGTCCCAACTTCCCGAGGCGATCTGCTGGCCGCTGGGCGAATACACCACGCTCCAAACTAAGTCGGTATGACCGCGCAAGGTGTGGGCTTTTGTCCAAGTCGAAGTGTCATACACGCTGATCGTGCCGTCGTCAAGACCTACTGCACAGAACTTCCCATCTGGCGAATACGCGCAGGAAAGCACGCTGCTTTCTTCTAAGAGATACGGCCATTCCCCAAACTGCACACCCGACATCTGTGCGTCGTTCAAATTGGCCTGACGCAGCCAAATATTGCGAAGCTTGACTTTTCTCAAATCTGCCCCTTGTAGCTGAGCAGAATCGAATTGGCCCCCACTCAGATCCGCTCCTGGGATCCGGATGCCTTTCAGATCTGCACCGATAAACGGCATCCCCGCTCTGACCAATATCGTGATCGCATTGGCTGCCGCCTTGCGTACCTCTTTGTCGGTTTTGGAGCATTCGATCGTGGCGAGCAGTTGCTGCTTGAAAAGAGGTTCCTGTTGGACACGTTCTGCTAAAAACTGCAGAATCGACGGCTCGCCCACAAAGCTTTCCCGCGCCAAGAGTGAATCGAGCACGGCCTGTTCAATGGCTCCCATGGGTTTCTCTGCATCAACTTGCTTTTCAAAGCTCATGACCGAATGGACGCTCCCTCGGCGTGGCAGGACTTCAGGTAAGGCCGCACGGCTCGCACTCTCTCCGTCTCGCGGCTCAAATACCGCTCGGGCCAAGCAGTATTCCAACAGCGATTTATGGATAAACCGGTACTGATTCCCGCTGCGCGTCAGAGGACACGCCTCACGCAAGAGCTGCTGCTTCTCGTTCTCCCGGCTAAAGAAATCTTCTTTCCATGTCCCTTGATCGCGAAAGGGCGAGTACTCGACCACCGGATTGCCCGCTTGCTTCTCGTACATCGCTACCGCTAACGCTTTCAAAAAGGCAACTCCGTTCTGTGCAAAACCATCGTCGGACAAGTTCTCAAACATCTTCTTCTCTTGGTAGCTCAAGTCCTTCTTCTCAACGAGCCGTTTCTTGCCTCGCTCCAACCATTGCTCCACAAACTGGTCATACAATGCGACTCGCGTGACCTGCACGGCCGAGAGGTCTTGTCCTGGATCCACCATGCGCGGCAGTACCTCCAAGGACAGCGTTAACATAAAGGGGTTCTTGACCAGGTCCTGCAGGCTGGGAATCAGATTCAGGGCCTTCAAGTAGTCCGTCACCTGCCAGAGCAGTCTGGTCGCGGACACATATTTCCTTATGTACTCTTGAATTTGATCCATAGAGAATGGCGCAATGACCGCCTCTTGAAACGCTGGTTCTGCTTGGTGATTGCCATCTGCTGGCCGGAACCGATCCCGATAATCAAGCCCAAGGTACTCGCTGCGGCAGCTAATGACCATCTGAGCCCTCCATCCTCCCTCCTGATTCAGTCGGTTGCTCGTGTGCAGGTTGTGTGTCTGCTGGCTCTCGTCATATCCATCACAAATCAAGATGAATTTGCGGTAGTCCTTCAGCTCTCGGATCTGGGGCTCGGTAAACTCTGCCTTCCGTAGATGCTTGGCAATCAGATCCTGTTCTGGCTTGTCGATTGCAGGCAAGCTGATAAAGAGCGGAATCCTGCCTTCCTTTTTCTTGTAGGCATCCCACAAGTCGCACTCGAGCTGCCGGTTAAAGGTCGACTTGCCTCCACCCGAATCGCCTAGCAGGAGCATCACCTTACGGTCACTGCTCAGGAAGGCTTCAACTTCTTTTGTCAAGTCGAACAAGTTGTCATCGGACGCTTGCAGGTTAGCCTTGGCTTGAGGGGGGATGTACACGACCTTGCCTCGCTCCTTCAATCGTTGCTTTCTCAATCGTCTCAGGTCGGCTTCAACATCGGGCTTGTTCTGGACAAGATCAAGCAATGACGGGGACGCGACAGTTGGCAAGGCGACCTGCAGCGGATGTAAGCTTCGATTTTCCTTTCGGCAGTCCTGATAAAGAACCCTTTTCGTCTCATCGCCATTGGATTCCAGCTCTTGCAACAAAGATTCGACGACTACACCATGTATCGCATAGACCAGAATAGAATATAGCATAGCTATTAGTGCCTGCTAGGCGGTGAACTCCATACCTCATAATAAGGCAAGAGCCTCTCACGTATCCGTTCATGTTCATCATACATACCTGGCATAGCTGAGCCAAATGTCGAAGCCAACTGCATAATAATGTCAAGGATCCATTGCTTGACGAGAGCTTGCTGACCCCACTCTGCATCATTTCGGTACATCTCGCCCAGAAACGCAACAGCACCTTGGCGAGACTCGATGTCCCACAGCGGATTGGCCGCAAGGTCCCCTAGGCGCTGACATACTCCTAGTTGAAATGCTAGATCACGCCGGCAAGGTGCTTCGCAGACCAGGGTCTTGAACTTGGCAAGTTGACCGTCCCGCAGCAGTGTGTCTGCTCCGCGCAGAGCTGTATACCAGGCGCGTTTCTGGTTGAAGCTGAGACCGACTTTGAGAGATTCCAGCAGTCCTTGTCCACTCTCGACCAGTGCGCTCACGCCTTCGTAACCGATTTTCGCTACCTGGATCACTTCTCCCAGTCCCTCCTGAAGATGACCGAGTCCTGTGATGAAGCCGTTGACGTCCAGACCTTTTACAGCACTAACTAGTCCCGAGACGCCCTTCAAAACAATTCCAGTGCGCCGCATTGTTGCTTGCCAGGGTGATTCGTTGTCTGGGACACACTGCAGCGCTTGGAATGCGTAGGCAGCCTGGTACACCAAGTAAGGGTCACTGCTGCCTTGTAGTCCATTCAAATAGGCAGAGAGTGGCTCGTGTAGCTCTACACGCTTTAAGCCTGAGACCTTGGTATCGGCCATAGCATCCAGGACTTTGGACACTGCGAGCGTGAGACGGCCGATGTGATCTGAAGACTGAGTGTGAGTATCTTGTAAGCGGGTGTTGAGGTTGCGCAGGATCGTGGCTAGGTCATCCGAGTCGAGGTAGCCCTCGGGAGCACTTTGGACCAACTGCGCCAGTCCTTCGAGGAACTGCACATCCAGCAGACTGGACTTGTCAACGCCATCGACAAACAGCATGAGTAGAGAGTGGAAACATTCCTTTTCAAGAACTGGGGCCAGGCACACGACTTCTGCGACGGCATTGGCATCCTTGAGCTCATCACGAGTGAATGCCCGGATCACATCTGTCGCCAGCGTCCTGAGCCTCTCCTTCTCCTCTGCATTCTTCTCTATGGATTTCACCCAATTTCCTGCTGCTGGCTCAAAGACCTCTTCGGGCGACGGCGTCACTTGCAGAAGACCAAGGCAGTAGGCGAGCTGGAAAGTATCGCAGAATCGCTCATCTGCCTCTGGCAACGGGATCTTGACGGTGGGCAGACGCATGTCATCGGGAAAGATATCCTCAGAGACCCGTGCCATGTCGCGGCGGGCGCTGTCGGTGACAGATGAAACTGCAGGACCCGGATGTTTTGTAGGACGCACATGGCTGTTAAAGTCAGAGGACAGTCAACAAAATTGAGAGATGCGTTAGGTGCGATGGGCGATATAGCCGGGCTAATGCGAACAAGTAGAGAGCAGGTATTCTGTCACTTACCCCCATTTTTCTGCTCTCTTGTAGCTGACCTGTGCCATTTCACTATATCCTAAGCTCTCCAACAAGTTGCCGTGCTCGAGACAGGCGCCAGCGAATCCATCGCGCAGGGCTTGATCCTCGACGGTCAAGGGAGTTGTAAGAATCTTTTTCGCAGCTCTTTTCATCCGGGATAACGCAGTCTCCGCATCGTCGCACAACGCTAATGCAAGTTCCCGATCCTTGGTTTTACGCGCATTCTCCATGTGAAAGTTGGCGAGTTCCAGCTCCTTTTGTGGCAAGAGAGCCTTTCGCGGTGATGAAAAAGCTCTGTCAAACATGTTGCTTCTCTGAGGGGCATGGGTTCTCCTGTTATCATAGAGCAGATGGCGACGATATTAGTGACCTTGTGAGTCGATTAATCTACCTGTGTGAGTACCAGTATACGTACTTGTACTTGACAGACACTTCAGTAACACAATGGGACCAACAAGTCGCAGTGGGCTGGTATACTACAGACGCAGTGGGAGCAGAATGAGCTATGGTAAATATAACCATTGATATACATAGCAGCTGCATGAACTAGATCATATGTGGCTGCTCTGCCAAGTGATGGCGCCCCCTACCTCGGAAGTGTTTATTCGACTCTTTGTTTCCTTTGGTTAGATGCAGAGATAGTCCTGAATATTTTGTCCTCTCCGTGCCTCCTTCCTAGCAGCGATATATACCAACTGCCCAATTGTGAAGACATGAAGAATTAAATAACCTTAAAACATGCCTATAGGCAGGCTACTATCGAGTGACAAGAAACACTGCCTCACCTCAACAGGAATCTGTTTCTCGAGTTTCTTTCACCAGCTGAGGAAATAGTCCGCCCCTATGAAATGTTTTCTATTCCAATTCTTTATTGAAGACGGTCTGCACACGAACAAGGCGGGCCGAGTGAAGGGATATTCGCTTCCCTCGTCACTTCTAGCAGAGATTCCTGTGAGCATGAAAGAAGGGATTATTATCTATTGCACATGAATAGGCTGTTCTCCTGATCTCGGCCATTCTAGCATTAGCACTCCTTGACTCGACTGTGGTTGTTCAGGCACATTAAGGGGCGGGGCTTTGGCAGATAAATCGTGTCTTTGTTACCAATGAGTCGCCGCTGGGCTGTGCTTATTGAGATAGAGCAGAGACGCACTTGAGACAGACAGAAGAGCGAGAAAAGATGAAAGAGATACGAGACAGTTCCTGATGGATTAAGGAAGGGTGGATGTGGGAAGAAGGGAAAGTGGGAAAGTGAAAAGGTGGGAAAGTGGAAAGGTGGGAAAGTGGAAAGGTGGGAAAGTGGAAAGGTGGGAAAGTGGGAAAATGTGAGAAGAGGGGGAAAGAGTGCCAAACTTGCAGTCAGATTGCTCCCTCGCCCTCGTGTAACGTGTAATGGACTCGGATGCAAAGGAGAGAAGGAAATCAACAGCACTGAGAATTGTGCAATAATCAGTGTTGCGCTTGGAGAAGTTCTTTTACAGCTGTATGGAGTAAGGAAACTCCCAATCTGAATGCTCGAATAAATTGTATTCCACATTGACTACAAGGGTCTAACGCACAATTACGCACACTGTAGCGAGTGATCAGCACAACGGTCTTCTTGTTCAACTGGAACAAGGAACAAAAGACCGCTGGCTTCGATCCTCCCTTTACACAGGCACAATCCCAAACCTAATATCGAATCCTGCGTACCCTCGGTGGCTGCTGGCCAACATCCGCATCATTCTGACTTTGAGGCGTTCAGCCATAATCCAACGGACGATAGCTTCGCGCCATTGCCTGCTCAAGCAGGCCCAAATACTAGTTATCCGAATGGACGGCTCCTCTCATACTAAGTTCAATTACTATTGCAGCAACATTTCATCGGTAGGGTAAAACTAACCTGCCTCACGACGGTCTAAACCCAGCTCACGTTCCCTTAATGGATACACAATCCAACGCTTACTGAAGTCTGCTTTAGTATGGCGAGTGCGATGTTGGCTGTAGATCTGGTGTTGGTCACAGAGGTGGTGCTGGTGATATTGGCCAGGGTTGGTGAAAGAATTTGGGATGATACTCTCCGCGAGGGGATTGTTCAGAATCGGGAGAGCTATGTTTCCATTGCGCGTATTACTTAAGACAGCGGGCTGCCATGGTCAACATTTATAGGCCCACAATACTCCATAGCCCTAGCTTGATCCCTTCATTGTTCATCGCTTTCGCTCCCGCTATTTTTGTCCTTCGAACCCATTGAGCGCTTTAGTTTGTGTTCTTGACCACCACATTTAATTTGTGAACGTGTCATGGACAAGAATTGCTCTGTATGTTGTCTTCAGAAAGCGCAATCCATGTCCTAAAAGACTGACACTGAGTAAAAGACAAGGCACCGTTGCTAATCTCCTATTTGCTCCACCTTCACGTTTCCAGCAAGCGAAAGGACATTCGCCGACTCGACCGGCTTTGCTGACTGTACAGCGGGAGAATCGGTCGCGACGACGGTATCGATTATAGTCTGGTTTGACGGCACCTTGAGTTTATGCACCACGGACGCCATGCTAATTAGCTTTTTGTTTGCCTCGCGGAAGCCCAAAGGCGGAATGGGCTCGCCCACAGCGCCGCGTTGTTCTAATAGCCGCATGTTTATCCTGCTTAAGCCTTGCGCGCTCTGGATAGAGGTATTTGACACGGTAAGTCTGTCAAGTATCGAACTCCAATGCAGGCGCACCTGATAGCGGTCATCCTCTTCTATGACCTGCCACATGCGAACAGACTTATCGAAACAGCTGGTTGCGAAATAGGTGCCGTTTGGAGTAGGGTTCCAGGTGATACTTGCGATTAACCCATGGAAATCTTCAACAACTGCCAAACATTGACCCGAATTCACATCCCACAGCCGCACCGTGTTGTCCAAACTTTCCGAGGCGATCTGCTGGCCGCAAGGTGGATATACCACGCTCCAAACAGTGGAGGTATGGCCGCTTAAGATGGGACCGGGTGCACCGGTTTGCGCGTCCCACAGTCGCACCGTGCAATCTATACTTCCCGAGGCGATCTGCTGGCCACTGGGCGAATACACCACGCTCTCAACCAGGTCGGTGTGACCATGCAAGGTGTGGGCTTTTGCCCAACTCGAAGTGTCATACACGCTGATCACGCTGTCCTGGAGACCTATCGCACAGAACTTCCCATCGGGCGAATACGCGCAGGACCTCACCTCACTATCTTCTAACAGATACGGCTATTCGCCAAACTGCACGCCCCCCATCTGTGCGTTGCTCAAATTGGCCTGACGCAGCCAAATATTGCGGAGATTGACTTTTCTCAAATCTGCCCCTTGCAGCTGTGCAGAATCGAATTGACCCCCACTCAGGTCCGCTCCTGGAATCTGGATGCCTTTCAGATCTGCGCCGTTAAACAGGATCCCGGCTCTGACCAATATCGTGATCGCATTAACCGCCGCCTTGCGTGCCTCTTTGTTGATTTCGGAGCATTCGATCGTGGCGAGCAGCTGTTGCTTGAAGAGAGGTTCCTGTTGGACACGCTCTGCTAAGAATTGCAGAATTGACGGCTCACCTACAAAGCTTCCCCGTGACAAGGGCGAATCGAGCACGGCCTGTGCAATGGCTGCCACGGGTTCCTCTACAGTAACCTGGTCTTCGAAGCTCATGACGGAATGGACGCTCCCTCGACTTGGCAGGGCATGAGTTGAGGTCACGCGACTCGCGCTCTCTCCGTCTCGCGGCTCAAACACCGCTCGGGCCAAGCAGTATTCCAACAGTGATTTATGGATAAACCGGTACTGATTGCCCTGCGCGTCAGAGGACACGCCTCACGCAAGAGCTGCTGCTTCTCGTTCTCCCGGCTAAAGAAATCTTCTTTCCATGTCCCTTGATCGCGAAAGGGCGAGTACTCGACCACCGGATTGCCCGCTTGCTTCTCGTACATCGCTACCGCTAACGCTTTCAAAAAGGCAACTCCGTTCTGTGCAAAACCATCGTCGGACAAGTTCTCAAACATCTTCTTCTCTTGATAGCTCAAGTCCTTCTTCTCAACGAGCCGCTTCTTGCCTCGCTCCAACCATTGCTCCACAAACTGGTCATACAACGCGACTCTCGTGACTCGGACAGCCGAGAGGCCTTGTCCTGGATCCACCATGCGCGGCAGTACCTCCAAGGACAGTGTCAACATAAAGGGGCTCTTGACCAGGTCTTGCAGGCTAGGAATCAGATCAAGAGCATTCAAGTAGTCCATCATTTGCCAGAGCGGCCTCGTCGCAGACACATATTTCCTTATGTACTCTTGAATTTGATCCATAGAGAATGGCGCAATGACCGCCTCTTGAAACGCTGGTTCTGCTTGGTGATTGCCATCTGCTGGCCGGAACCGATCCCGATAATCAAGCCCAAGGTACTCGCTGCGGCAGCTAATGACCACCTGAGCGTTCCATCCTCCCACTTGATTCGGTTGCTCGTGTACAGGTTATGCGTCTGCTGGCTCTCATCATACCCATCACAAATCAAGATGAATTTGCGGTAGTCCTTCAGCTCTCGGATCTGGGGCTCGGTAAACTCTGCCTTCCGTAGATGCTTGGCAATCAGATCCTGTTCTGGCTTGTCGATTGCAGGCAAGCTGATAAAGAGCGGAACCCTACCGTCCTTTTTCTTATAGGTATCCCACAAGTCGCACTCGAGCTGCCGGTTAAAGGTCGACTTGCCTCCACCCGAATCGCCTAGCAGGAGCATCACCTTACGGTCACTGCTCAGGAAGGCTTCAACTTCTTTTGTCAAGTCGAACAAGTTGTCATCGGACGCTTGCAGGTTAGCCTTGGCTTGAGGGGGGATGTACACGACCTTGCCTCGCTCCTTCAATCGTTGCTTTCTCAATCGTCTCAGGTCGGCTTCAACATCGGGCTTGTTCTGGACAAGATCAAGCAATGATGGAGATCCGACGGTTGGTAAGGTGACCTGCAGTGGATGTAAGCTTCGATTTTCCTTTCGGCAGTCCTGATAAAGAATCCTTTTCGTCTCATCGCCATTCGATTCCAGCTCTTGCAACAAAGATTCGACGACTACACCATGTATCGCATAGACCATAATAGAATATAGTACTGCTATTAGTACCTGCTAGGCCGTGAACTCCATACTTCATAATAAGGCGACAGCCCCTCACGTATCCGTTCATCATACATACCTGGCAGAGTGAGCCAAATGTCGAAGCCAACTGTATAAGAATGTGAAGGATCCATTGCTTGACGAGGGCTTGCTGGCCCCACACTGCATCATTTCGGTACATCTCACTCAGAAACGCAACAGCACCTTGGCGAGACTCGATGTCCCATAGTGGATTGGCGGCAAGGTCCCCCAGTCGCTGGCATACTCCTAGTTGAAAGGCTAGATCACGCCGGCAAGGTGCTTCACAGACCAGGGTCTTGAACTTGGCGAGTTGACCATCCCGAAGTAGCGTGTCTGTCCCGCAGTGCTGTATACCAAGCACGTTTCTGACTGAAACTGAAACCGACCTTGAGAGACTCCAAAAGTCCCTGTCCACTCTCGACCAGAGCGCTCACACCTTCATAACCGATTTTCGCTACCTGGATCACTTCTCCCAGCCCTCCTGAAGATGCCCGAGTCCTGCGATGAAGCTGTTGACGTCTAGACCTTTTACAGCGCTAACTAGCCCAGAGACACCCTTCAAAACAATTCCAGTGCGCCGCATTGTTGCTTGCCAGGGTGATTCGTTGTCTGGGACACACTGCAGCGCTTGGAATGCGTAGGCAGCCTGGTACACCAAGTAAGGGTCGCTGCTGCCTTGCAGTCCATTCAAATAGGCAGAGAGTGGCTCGTGCAACTCCACACGCTTTAAGCCTGAGACCTTGGTATCGGCCATAGCATCCAGGATATTGGACACTGCGAACGTGAGACGGCAGATGTGATCTGGAGATTGAGTGTGAGTATCCTGTAGGAGGGTGTTGAGGTTGTGCAGGATCGCGGCTAGGCCATCCGAGTCGAGGTAGCCCTCGGGAGCGCTTTGGACCAACTGCGCTAGCCTCCCAAGGGACTGCACATCCAGCAGGCTAGACTTGTCAATACCATCGACAAATAACATGAGTAAAAAGCGGAAATATTCCTTTTCAAGAACTGGAGCCAGGCATACGACCTCTGCAACGGCCTTGGCATCCTTGAGCTCATCGCGAGTGAATGCTCGGATTAGATCTGTCGCCAGCGTCCTGAGTCTCTCCTTCTCCTCTGCATTCTTTTCTGTGGATTTTACCCAATCTCCTGCAGCTGGTTCAAAGACCTCTTCGGGCGACGGCGTCACTTGCAGAAGACCAAGGCAGTAGGCGAGCTGAGAAGTGTCGTTGAGCCGCTCATCTGCCTCTGGTAACGCGATCTTGACGGTGGGCTGACGCATGTTATCAGGAAAGATATCCCCAGGGACCCGTGCCATGTCGCGGCAGGCGCTGTCGGTGGTAGAGGAAATTACAGGACCTGGATATTTTGTAGGACGCACATGGCTGTTGAAGTCAGAGGACAGTCAATAAATTGAGAGATACGTTAGGTACGACGTAGAAGTAGCCGGCTACTGCGAACAAGTAGAGAGCATGTACCTGCCACTTACTCCCGATCTCCTGCCCTCTTGTAGCTGACCTGCGCCATTTCGCTATATCCTAAGCTCTCTAATAGGTTGGCGTGTTCGAGACAGACGCCGGCGAATCCATCATGCAGGGCTTGATCCTCGACGGTTAAGGGAACTGTAAGAGTCTTTTTCACAGTTCTTTTCATCCGAGATAACGCAGCCTCGGCGTCGTCGCACAACACTAAAGCAATTTCCTGATCCTTGATTTTGCGCGCATTCTCCACGTAAACATTGGCGAGCTTCAGCTGCTTTTGTGGCGAAAGAGCCTTTTGCGGTAACGAAAAAGCTTTGCCAAACATGTTGCTTCTCTGAGAGGGTTTCTCCTGTTATCATGGGGCAGATGGCAGCGATATTAGTGACCTTGTGGTCGATTAATATACCTGCGCGAGTAGCCAGCATACGTACTTATACTTGACAGACACTTCGGTAACGCAATGGGGACCAATAAGTCGCACTGGACTGGTATACTTCAGACGTTATGGGAGCACAATGAGCTATGGTAAATAAAAACATTAATATCCATAGCAGCTGTATGAACTAGATCATATGTGGCTACTCAGCCAAGCGATGGCGCCCCGCCTCGGAAATGTTTGCTCGACTCTTGTTTCCTTTACTTGTATGCAGAGGTCGTCCTGAAGATTTGTCCTCTTTGTGCCTCCTACCAGCGATACCAACTGTCCATCGTGAAGCATGCAGGATTAATAACCTTAAAACATGCCTATAGGCAGGCTACTGTCGAGTGACAGGAAACAGTGCCTCACCTCAACAGGAATCTGTTTCTCGAGTCCTTTCACCAAACGAGGAGATAGTCCGTCCCTGTGAAATGTTCTCTACTCCAGTTCTTTGTTTAAGACGGTCTGCACGCGAATAAGGCGGTCGAGTGGAGTGATATTTGCTTCCCTTGTCAATTCTAGCAGAGATTCCTGCTATTATGAAAGGAGTGATTATTATCCATTCCACATGAATGGCTTGTTCTTCTGATCTCGGCCATTCTAGCAGTAGTGCTCTTGACTCGACTGTGGTTGTTCAGGCACATTCAGGGATGGGGCTTTGGCAGATAAACTCTGTCTTTGTGACTAATGAGTCGTCGCTGTGCTGTGCTTATTGAGGTCGAACAGAGACGTACTTTAGACGTACTTTAGACAAACAGAAGAGCGGGAAAAGATTAGAAAGATATGAGACAGTTCCTGATGGATTGAAGGATGGTGGATGTGGGAAGAAGGGAAAGTGGGAAAGTGCGAAAAGAAGGGAAAAGAGTGAAAAGACACACATCTATCGTTGCAGCATTCGCCAAACGGAGCCATGCTTGTAGTCAGATTACTCCCTCGCCCTCGTGTAACGTGTAATGGGCTCTCGGTGCTAAAAAGAAAAGGAAAACAGCAGATCAATTCGAACAGCTTTAACCACCCGAGCTGCAATATACATCTATGGACGGTGCGTCGTATCATGTTCGTTTCAGTGACAAGCCACCCAACAAACAAGCCCGGAGAGATATGATGAGACAGTGGTTGGAAGAGTACGACATAGCGAGCTCAGTAGACAATCCGACAAAGACCCAACTCAATGCAATGATCCAGGAGGCGACAAAAGACGAACAGTCGGTCTGCAACACGTGTGCTATTGCGGAGAAGCTTGGCCACTAGATCCTTAAAACACTCTCTACCATTGCGAACTTCAGCTCATGGAGAAGATATGGGGTATAGGGAAACATGAGCAAGCTGCCGATTATAGTGGCAAAGAAACAGTGCTTTCTGTCCACTGCAAGATGAGTCGCATATTTTATTGATAATCTAGCTCTGCGGCTATTTATTAAACCTATCTAAAGTGAATATAGCCAGCTTTGGGCTAGGCCGAAACTTTGAGTGAACAGTCGAACTTGGTTTATCGGCCCAGTTTCGTCTGTAAAATTGGGCCGATAACTCTAATTAGAAACTAAATTGAACCTCTCTGAAAGGACTATTTTAAAGACAAAAAATACAGTCACATATATAGCCGAATACTCAGTCGCGTGCCCTTTTGTGCGCACAAAGCCACAATATCCATCGCACCTTCTAAGTCACGAGCGACCTTTGTGCACATAAGGGACTCGGTGTGGCATGTGACTGAATAAGTGGCTGTATTTTTCGTCTTTAAAATAGTCCTTTCAGAGAGGTTCAATTTAGTTTCTAATTAGAGTTATCGGCCCAGTTTCGTATGGTGAGTTGGGCCGATAACTCTAATTTGAAATTGAATTGACCTCTCTGGGTGGATTATTCTAAAGACGAAATAATACAGTCACATATTCAGTCACATGCTGCGCTGCAAGCGTGCTTCTTGCTTCTTCATGGACACGTCTCATGTATTGCATTCTATACATCTCAACACCATGACTACAAAACCCCCAAAAAAAAGACAATATGAGTCGCTCTCGACCCGGGCATCGACGTCAAGCAAAAAACAAAAATCAACTCTTGCACAACTTCCTGCCAATCATAACAAAAAATACACCAAGCGCGAACTCGAGGATATTGAGCGCAGTCGTCGACTGATTTACAACTTCATTTTGGATTGTGCCAGACGCAAAGATATGGATACACTCCTTGCGTTTCCTCACGCCAACCAGTTCGAGATCCCGATGGCCAGGGTCCCTCACACCTTGGAGCAGCAAGTCGAATTATTGGACATATATCACTATCTTCAGGATCGGAAGGAAGACCTCCCCATCCAGCTTTCTCACAGGTCTTTTGAACGCCTGATAGGAGTCCATCTTCCGAAAGTTAGCCTTGAACGCATGCTCAAGCGAGAAGGCGAACTACGTGCTGCAGCCAAGACGCACCCCACGGGCGCTTATTACATCGTCGATCGAGAGAATCTAATGATTGAGGAGGTCCTCTACCGGTGGCTGCAAGATCAGCGGAAGCAGAACGTCCCTGTCAACGGCAAGATGATCAAGAAAGCATGTACGGTTCTAGTCGATCTTCAGGACGGTTCGGGCGATACCATGTCTGAGGCACCACCGTCATTTTCAGCCTCGTGGTTTAATGACTTCAAGAAACGTCATGGGATAACCTATTGTCAGCTTCATGGAGAAGCAGGATCAGTCGACCTGGAGGCGATTGAACCGGAGCTTATCGACATCCGTCAGCTTTGCGCCCAATATACTCCGGACAACATATTCAATTGCGACGAGACTGGCTTTTACTTGCAGGAGCTAGTCGACAAGTCTTACACAACTCCAGGGTCAAAGTCGGGCGCCAAGGCCAACAGGAGCTGCAGGGTCTCCACCCTGTTTTGCATTAATGCTTCTGGCTCCTCTCTCGCCATGGCAGACACCAAGGATTCGTTGAAGCCGTTGGTCATCGGTAATGCGTTGAATGTATGATTGTGTTGCAATCGTCACTTATTTATTCGTGTTTTTTATTTCAATTCTTGACCTTTACGACTCTGTAATGCTCTTTACTTTAGGCAAAAGCATTCCAAAGGATCTTGAAAAAGATTCAGCGAAAAGGATGCTCATGAGGGAAACAAATTCGGGATGGATGAACAGAGACCTATTCGTAAAATGGCTACAAATGTTTGATGACGATCTCTCGCAGCCAACCCTTCTCCTTCTTGACTCCGCAGGTGCACATAACAACATCGACATGCGTGATTCACGAACCAACACGCCTTGGAAGCATCTTCACATACGACGGCTCCCGACAAACACCACATCAGTAACGCAACCTCTCGACGCGGGCGTCATTAGTGTTTTCAAACGAGCTTTCTTGGAGATGCTCAGCTACGAAACGTATCTTGTTCGCAGCTATGGTAAAAAGAAACGTATCTCCGATGAACTCGCTTGGACATTGATCCCCTATGCATGGAGTCGAATGAAGCCTCTAACGCTGCGAAACTGCTTCTCCAAAACGCCAGTCCCTCCGACGGAAATGCGCGAGCAGCTCCGACGACGACTGCCAACCCATGCTGGACATCAACAACCACCTCTTCAATACTTCCGACACAACCAATATAAAGAGCAGGAGCGGGCATATTTCGAGCATCTGATCGCCGAGACTACTACGGAGAATAGTTGGAGTTTCCGAGTAATAGGAAACAAGGATGAGTAGGAGCTGGCTGAGGAAGCGCTACATCAGGTGAATATAGTGGAAGAAAGAGACGGAGACTATTCCGAAGGCGAAGTTAGCAGTGACGGGTCTACAAGCAATGACGGAAATGCAAGCTCACCGTTAGCAGACGTAGACTTGGATGCGACCATTGAAATACTGAAGTATCTGGCAGGTGACCACGATGTACTCAGTGTTGAAGGCATCAAACAACTCAAACAGGTTACGGAGCAGGACTTGAAGGAGAGGCGGGGGATTCGAGGGATAATGAAGGAACTGGTGCATACTTGTGCAGCGTTAAAGAATAAGACGCAATAGACGTGAATAAAGGTTTCTGGGCCTGCGGCTTGCAGCGCAGCATGTGACTGAATATGTGACTGTATTTTTCGACTTAAGAATAGTCCTTTCAGAGAGGTTTAATTCAATTTCAAATTAGAGTTATCGGCCCAGTTTCGTATGGTGAGTTGGGCCGATAAACCAGATTCGACTGTACTATCGCTGGTCCTTTGGTCTGCGTCGCGTACTCTACTATATATTAGTGCTTGATACAATATAACATGTTCTTTTTGAGCACGTTTCCTTCATTAAAATGCGAGAATGGCGGCGATAGCGACGGCAGCGGCTCCGAAGAGACCAGAAGAATGGCCTTGAGCGATGGCAGCGTTGGTTGTTTGAGTAGGCGTGGGGGCCGTGGTGGTCGAGCCAGTTATGGTGGTCGTCAAGGGCGTAGCGGTGACGGTAATGCTCGTGAGATTGCCGGTCGTCACTGCGCCAGAAGTTGTAGCGCTGGTGGCAGTGGAAGCAGTACTCACAGAGGTAGAACCCGTGGCAGGAATTGATCCGGTCTATTATAGTTGAAAAAATTGAATGAGTGTCGATTCATAGACCTACGTGAAAAAGACTGGAGTGCCAGTAACAGCAAGCGACTTACAGGCAGAGGGTCAGAGCCAGAGGGTCCAGAATAGTCGCCTGGAACGATTAGGGCGCAACCATAGGTGGACTTGCCTGTTGCAATTAGATATGGTAAAGATTAGATATTGAGGGCACTGTTGACCTCGGAACAAGTTACCAGAAGTTTGTTCGTACCTGTGTTGCAGTCTACCTTCTCCTTGCAGCAGCGGATGCAGTAAGTGTTCATGTGGGGCTCAATCAAGTTCACATAGTGGTTATAACCAGCGCATGCGGATCCTATTGTAACCAGAAGGGAAAGAAGCGTGAGCAACACCGCTGGATTTTTTTTTTTTTTTTACGCTGAAGTGCCTGAGAACTGAGAGTAATCTTGGTCCAGTTCGATAACTTACCGACAGGAGCCTTGATATCGTACTGGCCGCCCAGGTCAGCCTCGGCGAGGGAGTAGCGGGTACGGTCGATTTGGCCAGTGACCTGGACGTATCCGTTTCCGGTAGCAAAGTGGGCGGAGTGGATGAATCCGCTGGGGAAGATCTTTGCGCCAGGGGCATCCGAGTCGTCGTTGGTGCAGAAGGCGATGGCACGATCCTCGTTCAGGGCAATATCACCGCCCTCCTCAGGAGGCATCATCATGCACCAGTTCGAGCCTGACTTAATCTGGACAATCTGGCCGGAGTTGCCAGGGGCAGCAGAGGCGACAGAGCCAAAGACTAACAGGGCAATGGCAATCGAAGCAACGTTGACGAGCATGGCGGATTATTTAAGAGGTATGGGTGGGTTGAGTGAGTGTGCTGATTTGAATGGAGGGGAGGATATGTCGTAACAAAAGAGCGGGAAAGGTAAAAAAAGAAAAGAGAGGGCCGAGCAGAGGGGTGGAGGTGATGGATGCTGTCGAGGAATGGAATGGGTGCCAGAAGAGGAGCCGAGGCGGCTTTATATAGCGAGCGAAAACGGATGCAAATGATGTCTCTGACACGACACAGGTACGAGTTCAGGTACAGACATCGTTCTATGGGTTCTATTTTCTCATTTCTGTATTCCGCTGGGTCCAGTTGTGTTGTGTCATGCTGTCGTTGTGGGGAGCTATGGCTGCAAAACAATCAAAAATGCATCTCTCATCCCATGCCCCATAGGTGCATTTTTAAGGTTCTCGGAAGGTTTAGTACCTTTCCTTTCTCTTTGGTACTTTAATGCTTAGCATGGGTGCTCTTTTTGGGCGTCACTTGGTTACCTGGTTACTTGGGTAATCCATGTCGAGAATGCTCTCTGTGCTTATGCTACACGCAAATGCACGATTTCTAACATACTACTGTCTGTGCCCAGCTGCTATTTATGAGCAATTCCGTGCAATCGCACCCTCATTGATTCGGTATGGACCCCGGTTGGTACCTGCGGCGTGTTCGTTAGGATGCCAGCTCTTATCGTATCCGAGATTCTATTCCAATGCTGTGCCTCTTTGTGTCTTTCTTTACCCAAGACACAAAAATAATAAACTATTCTCGGTTACTAGACTATAGATCGTAGACTGGCAGAGACATGGAACGGTCGATGACACATGCTGAGGAACGTACGGGTATAGAGTTACACGCTAAACCCACTGGGCGCAAAAAAAGAGCCTACATTGGGAGGAAATAATGAACTTCTAAAAGGAAATAAATATTCGATCCCTTCAGACGCTGCAACACAGCCCGTGCCTGGAACAGGGGTATCTGTCCCTTGCAAAGGTATCCACAATTGCTAATAGTGGGGTGGAAGGAATAAAAAGCGACCATGGAGTCATTTTTGCAGAGAGTGCTCGTATGTCGTACGTGGTGGAGAAAATAGTGGACGCAGCTTTCTCACACGGCTGCAGCTCAGACCAGTGCTCGCTTTTTATTTATTTTTGTTTTGGCTGTCATCATCCCCCGCTTCTTCATCCCACCCCGCCTACATTCTTCTCTTCTTTACACACTCCCCTCCGACACCCACAAGCCCGATGACATCTCACAAGATCGGTACCCTGGTGGCCATCCCTATCAAGGGCAGGAAGCTCATCAATAGGAGCGGAGGCAAGCAGTCGCCCTTTGTTCAGCTCAAGCTAGGCGAGCAGAAGAAGCGCACCCGCGCCTCACTCATCGCTTCACTCGAGCCAGAGTGGGATCAAGAGGCAAGCGACTTTTTATGGCACCCATCTTCTCTACTTCGATTGCCTTGCCTCGTCGACCCTTTGTCTCATACTTCGCTGTTCTCTCGATGTCTTTAGGTGCGTCTGGATGTGTTTCATTCTCAGATGGATATGCACGTTGCTGTCTACGACGAGGGCAAGAAGAACGAACTCATCGGCGATGGAGTCCTGCTCCTGCACGAGGTCATCGACAAGGGCGAGCTCGATGGTACGACGCTTAATGGTGTTGTGGTGTCTCTTCTTTCTCAGGAACCATCATTAAAGTGAGATTCAGGGCAGCACTAACTATTTTGTTACTATTGTCTACATACAGTCTGGTTTCCGGTCAAATACAACGGGACTTCGGCGGGCGACATCTACTTCGAGTTGACCTTCTATGCCGCGGTAAGTTGCTGATAATAGGCGACAACGATGAGGACGCAAGCACATTGCAGCCGCATAGACCGACGGTGATGAATATTATGCTATGCATGCAAAACAATCCCCGCTGACTTTTGATTTTTTTTGTTGGTCTTCTTAGGCACCTCCGCCAGCTGCAGGGACCACCCCTCCTCCCGCGGCCCAGGCACAGATCCATACACCCATCAGACACACCCAGCCAGGATACCAGGGCGGCCCTGGCATGCATCCGATGTCGCACGCACCATCAGTCAGCGGTTACGGCAGTCCAGCATCAGCACCACAGTTCCCCGGAGGCATGTATCAACCCGGCTTCAATGCCACTCCCCGACCACCCTTTGCGCCTACACCTACACAGCCCTTCTCACCGGCGCCTGTACAGTCCTTCTCACCAGCGCCTGCACAGCCCTTCTCACCGGCGCCTGTCCAGCCCTTCTCACCACCGATTGCACCCTATGGTGGAGCCCCTGCACCAGGGCAAGGATTCAACCAGCCAATTGGAGGAGGTCCGGCCCCGTTCCGTCCACCAGGCGCTAGTCTGTTCCCGGCTAACGCATCGCCACAATTTGGTAACTCTACTGCTCCTGGAGGATATCCAAATATGCCTCAGATGCCCCAGCCCTTCGCTAGCGGCCCTGGAGGTAACAACAACTATCCGCCCAACAACAACATGAACAATAACAACAACAATCATCAACCAAGGTTCCTCATGCCACAGCACTCTTCTCCAGGAGGCCAACATATGAGCCCTGCCCCAAGTTTCCCTCAAGGACCTGGCGGTGGTGGTCCTCCCAACAGCTACCCCAACAGCACACCGAACAACAACTTTTCGAACAACGGACCTCCAAACAGCTATCCCAACAACAACAACTTCAGCAACAACAATAACCATGGCAATAGCTTCAACAATAACAATAACAACAACAACCATGCCAATAACTTCAACAGCAACAACTTTAACAACAACGCCAACAACAACAGCAACAACAACAATAATAACAATAACAGGAACCCCAACAACCCCGGAGCAGCTCCAGTGACGCCTTTGATGCAGTACAACTACAGTCTCGAAAGCTTCCCATAGACGGATCTAAGATAAATCGACCCATTGATATTATTAAACAGAATCAACATATCATGTAATTTTTGATGCAGTTCTTTGGTCGTTCCAGGTTGCTTTAGTATCCTTAGAAATATGCCAAGCATTGCATTGTTCTTCTAGCGCGCTAGTTGAGCACTTAGTGAATTGGTTCATTTCATCGTTTTTATTTCTATCACACACTAGTAGCGCAGACTCGACGCGATGGCAGGCTTAGAAGAGAGTGACATATCCGAACTTCTCGTTGTAGCCCTTGGTGTCCCATCTGCCCTTGACCAACAAGGCATCGACCTTCTCGGCGATCTCAGGACGCGACTTGAGAACATCATCGGCCTAAAAAATAACAACAACATAAGAGTGCACAGATAGAAAGTATCGTCAGTAATCGTTTGTCGATAATGGGTCTTCCGCATCATATTTCATAGCAATGTTGCCATCCAATCGATGTTGACATGTTGCTCCCTTTTTTTCCTGCATTAATAAGCAAATACTCGGAAGCAAGATACGTACAGTGAGCTCATCGACGGGGCGGGAGGTCTCAATGTTCTTCAAGGTAGCCTGGAGATCAGCGAGCTCGGACTCGACCTTGGTGGCGGTGGTCTTGGCGCGCTCAAGCTATTGATTTGGCGAATGAATAGATAAATTTAGGAACGTGCGTTGAGTTGATATTGACCAGGGACAATAGATAGTTAAACAGTAACATAGATGGGCTGAACGATGGTCGTGTTCCCGAGTGTGGGGTTCCTTGTTACTGCAAGGTTAGTGCGATCTTTCTGAATACACGATCAAGGCGCGAATCATATTGTCCAGTTAGTGATGATTGTAAAAAAAAAATTCGGTTCCTGAAAAAAAAAACTAGATCCTGACTGATGGTGGACGCTCGCTGGCGCGATGATCTCATAAAAGATGGTCCTTGCATATTGTCGACGCGCCCACAGTTGTCGGGTAAAGGATGGATTGTGCGATGAGACCAAAAGGATCAAATGACTACAATGAGATCCCAGAAGGACTTACAGCCTTGGTCTCGACAGCCTCGATGGACTTGATCTGGGTCTGGACGTCGTAGGAGGTGGCCTTGAAGGACTTGAAAGCCTTCTCGAGGTCATCAACGACAGCCTGGTTCTTGAGAACCTTGCGGTAGTGAGCAAAGTCAACGGCGGTCTTCTGTTCCTTGAGATCGGTGAGGACACGACGGGCCTCCTCGTTACGCTTGCGGAAGGCACCGAGGGCAGCGACGGTCTCGGTCTTGAGACCGAGGGAGGTGGACAGCTTGGTCCAGTCGATGTGGGTGGCAGCAGCCTTGACAGCAGACATGATGGGAGTGAGAGATTGAGAGAGAAGGAGTGGGGAGGGTTGGAGCGAAGATGGAGTTGATGGTTGATGGAGGGAGTAGATTCAATCAAACGACCTCGTCGCAGGAGCTGCAGCAAGCGTGTTCCCTACGATACCCGGCGGTAGGCCAAACACAAACACGTCACATCTCATTTTTTCAAGCCACTGCCACACACAACACAGCTGTTTCCTCCCATCCAAAGGCACCGATATGAAGCTGCGTTGGAGATTTTATTGGCAGTAAAGGAGAAGTAAATATACATGGAAAAATGGTTTCGTGTAACGGGTGTGCTGTATTCTTGAAGGAGGAGCAGGGATTTATCGGTTTTCGAAATCCAATGCCGTTGGTCAATCAGAGAAGAGGGGATAACCGGAAGCTGCCTTGATAGTTTGATTATGCGATCCTGTCAGTGGCAGACTGCTCGTTCTTCATAAAATAATCCTTTGCACTAAATGCGCCGGTAGTCTTCTGAGTCGAGCGTGAGACATAAGGGAGCAACTATAAGATCGTTCCGTGAAGAGCTTATATTAGTATCATCTTCCTGTGGCGAGACCATCATATCAAGACCATCTAGTACGAAGGCAAGTGTCCAGTCTTCGGTACCTTAAAGTCGGTCAGGTCTGGCACGACGAATGAGCGGACCTTCTCCCACTCAATCAAATAGCCTCCACGCTTTGTATGGCGACCCATGGCACCACTTCCCGTTCCTAGTCAAACATAAAAATGAACGACCAGGGAAGAAGATCAGCACTCTGACTCTTCCGTAGGGGAGTTTTTTCCCCTTGTGTTCGCTAATGCCGCTGGCTGCTATGAATACCCTTGTAAAAGTTGCGTCCACGCTTGGAAGTGAGCTGCTGCCTCGAGGAGCCGCGCATGATGCATTTGGTGATTCCGAACATGGTTGCTGGTGTTGAAGCTGAAGAGTGAGCGGACGAAGGGGGCAAACACAGGCACACGGATAGAGCCAATTGAATGTTGTTTTGTATTTTATGCGTGGCAGTCACATTCTTCTGTTAGGTAGGAAAAAAAAAAAAAAAAAAAAAAAGAAAAGGTAAACAACCCCCTTCTTTGCTTGCACCTCACCTCTTTCCTCTCCTGTCACCGTTGGTTACATCAGCCTTTATCTCCGTGGCATCATTCTCATCATGGCGGGACCCAACAAGAAACAGGCCGACAAGGGTGTGAAAAAGCCCTTTGACAAGAAGGGAGCCAAGGGCGGCAATAACAATAACAACAGCAACAACAACAGCAATAGCAAGAACGGCAACGCCTCAAAGGAGGCCACTAGCGAGGTTAAGAAGGCCTTCGCCTCGGTCACCAAGGGCCCGTCTGCAAACGGCAGTATTCCCAAGAACATGCTCGCAATTGTCAAGAGCAAGCCTGCAAAAGTTATGTTGACCTTCAAGCCCTCACCACAGTGGTACAGCGCCGAACTGGAGGCTCTCGAGGGCGACGGCAAGGATCATCACATCGTCGAGACAACTCTTGCGCAAAAGACTACACAGGCTACACGACTCTTGGAGGAGGAGAGCACCAAGTATGACGATAACCCGAGCTTGTCTTCTTCCGATAAGAACTTTGTATCGACGATCATGGCCTCGGGTACGCTGAACGATCGTGTTTCGGCCCTGACTCTCATGATCCAAGAGTCACCCCTGCACACGACAAAGAGTCTTGATAAGCTGATGGCCATGGCGGAAAAGAAGAGCAGGACAGAGGCCGTCAAGAGCATTGAGTCCCTCAAGGATCTCTTCATCGGAGGCGTGCTTCCTAATCGCAAACTCAAGTACGTGTTTTTCAACGCGTTGTTGCCATCTCATTATGTCTCAATTCCAGCGTGATATGACCGAACTTACTCATTGCATTCATCCCTAAATCTCTATTAATAGGTATTTCCAGGACCACCCATTGACGCATCCCAAGGCAACGAACGAGCATTTGATCATGTGGATCTTTGAGGACTACCTGAAGAAGACATTCTGGAAGTTTGTTCAACTTCTCAAGGT